TCAGGGACCCATAGTATGGAGGACCGATCCTGCCATAATTAAAAACATGTACAGAAATAAATGAAGGACTTAATATAAAATTGCTTGAAAAGTAGCTAATAATATGAATTTGTGTGCCATTAAATGTGACAAAATAATAAAAAGAAGACATTTCTTCAACAATTGATCAATTATTCATCAAAAAAAAAAAATATGTTTTAACTTACACTTTTATTTTTACTTTTCTTCTTGCTTTTATGCTGACTTATTTTTAATCCACTTATTTTCTGTTATACATTTTTGGAAGTCTTTTTTTTTGTCTTTGTGTATTTATTGCAAGTGGGGGTTTTTTGTTCCGTATTTCCAAAGCAGCCTTTTTTATTTTTTCATATTTATTCACACCAACATTTTTAAAAGATGTTTTTATTTTTGTATTATAATGATATACACCACAAAATTTTTAAAATCATGTTTTTACTTTACCTAAATATTCCTTTTCATTGTGTTTTAAAATCCTTGTAGTTTTGAAACAATGATTTATTTCTGCCTCTAAATTTTCTGGGTTTTTTTACCCAAAGGATTTTTACCTGCCCTTTTATTTCCTTCTCCCCTTTTTCCACTCTGTGTATTTCTACTTCTTATTTTTAACGCAACATTTTTAAAGCATGTATTTACTCCACCATAAAAATTAATTATTATCTTATTTTAACCTTCTAATTCTTACAGTCATTTATTTCTGCCTCTAACTTTTCTGTTTCTTTTTGCCTGCCCTTTCATTTCCTTCTCCTCTTTTTTTCACTTTGTCTATTTCTCCTTCGTATTTTAAAGTAAAATTTTTAAAGAAATATTTACTCCTTACTTATTATTTTGTCACATTTAATGGCACACAAATTCATATTATTAGCTACTTTTTCAAGCAATTTTATATCATTAAGTCCTTCATATATTTCTGTACATATTTTTAATTATGGCAGGATGGGTCCTCCACACCATAGTGGCAGTCCGCGGGAATGTGGCTAGAACTCAGAACCTCTGGGGCCCAGCGCAATGCCCTAACCCCTAGGCCGCCACTGCCCCCCCTGTGTGTTTGCATTATTTGTTTATAGCAGGCTTTCATTTACTACCCTCTATTTTATGTGATTGCAGCATTTCCATATCGCAGCATTTTCATTGCAGGGTTTTGCATTAGTCTCATCGTTGTGTTTGGAAGCTAATTGTTGTCTTTGCACTACTTATTGTATTTGCACAGTATTTTTTAAAAATCATTTGCAAATGAAAACATGAAAAATGTGCAGTGCATATGAATTTAGTTCCCCCTAATTTATACTTTAATAAACTGTTTGGGATCATGTGACCAAAGCACCCTGTTTCACATGTGTGCAGTGTCCTTTTCCAAAAATGTAATTAGCAGCAGTTATGACCCCCACTGAAACAACATAACCCCCCTATAATAAACATTATCATTAAATTATAAAATATTTTTCATCAATGCTGTTTTATTTTATTGTCTTTATCCTCAGTTTCCAGTGAATCAGAGGCATCTTTTTAATTTTGCAATATCCTCCCAAAAACTTCGACCCTATGTGTCAACCGAGCGCTAGTAAAAGTAGTTATACTGTACTTCGAAGACATCAAAATAGCTTAAAAAAAAATGTCTTTTTTTTTGTTGTTGTTGTTTTAAGGACCAAGAATCACATATAAAAAGATATTTAAAACTAAAAGTCTGTTAAGAAAGCTGCAAAAAGCCCCAAAATGACATTAGAGTCCTCGTTTTATCTAAAAGCAATAAGATTTGTTCCCTTTTTTTTTCCATATTATCACTGACAACTTCACCCAACCAGAGTTAAATAACAAAACAGAAGCTAAAGCAGTGGATATTTGCAAAACATGGCACTGTTGGGTTAAAATGAACCCTTTGTGATGTTAATTTTAGACACACCAGTAACAGAGACATTAACCTTCCTTTGGAAAGACCAAAAGTTGGGCTATTGTCTCCTACACTGTTTGAGGAAAAATGCAAACTTAACCTTCAATGGCTTCATCTCAACGATGGCTTCTTTTCTCCACTCTTCCATCAAAAACTGGTTAAAGACATGAGTCATGGTTTCCTGCTACTCCTCCATAGTTACCTTGTAGGAATATCTTCACCATACTGTGATTTCATATCGCTCTGTTTTATTTTTTCCAGCTGGTCACGCGGGGCTGCGAGGCACTGGAGGTCACTCCCCTGCGGGACGGAGTGGGGCAGCCCGGCTTCTTGATGAACGAGGAGGGCTTTGTGACGGATCTGCAGAGGTTCTGCTATGCCGAGAGCGGAGGCCTGCAGCTCTGGGCTCGAGTGGTTAGGCTGTGCGGACATTCCCTGCTTCACTTGAGCCCAGAGGAGAGAAGCAGGCTCCTTCGCACAGCACACAAGATCCACATCACCGTCATCCCACCTGATGAGAACGGCAAACCTCGCAGGTGGGGAAGGAGTCTTTTAACCCGTCAGAGACGGACTGAGACTCAAGAAAGAGTCATACTGCAGGGGTCATGACAGAAAATGAGTTGGAAGAGTTGCTGGGAAACAGTCAGCCATGGGTCACAGCTCTCTGCTGTTAATCACAGCCCATAGATGGTTGGCTAATAAGGAATAAATCCTTTTTAATGACATTTAAAAACACAGTCTAGCCTACTGTAACCAGGACATATCTGCTTAAATAAAAGCAAAGAGAGGGCAGAAACAGCTGTTAACAGAGTCATTAGGCTTTAAGGTATTATTAACCAGACATCTCTACTGCTTTCAGCTTTAAATAATATGACAACGATGGCAGGATATAAGTCCCTTGATTTATTTCTCTTCTACCTTGTGTTGCTCTTTCTGAGGCATAAAACACAAATTATCACAATTATGTGGCAGTGTGGAAGAATCTCTCTGATTTTGCCTTCCTTGATCAAGTTATAAGTTCTAATGCAATAAAGCTTGGTAGTTTTTTTTTTTTCTCACTAAGTTGGATATTGGTTTGCAGGAGTTTCTCGGAGCTTTACCAGAAAGCCATCAAGGATGCAGAATGCAAGTCTGGCGAGGACCAGTCTGGACTGGCCTGGGTGGTGGAAGAGCGGGAAGAAGAAAAACCAGAACAGGAGCAGAAGACGGAGGACCAGGCGAAGGTGGACAAGGTCGATGTGGAAGAGGTCACCGAGGAGGAGTTAAAGGTGGACCAGCTGTGTGACATGCAGCCCAACCAGGAGAGTCACAGCCTGCTCCTCGAGCCGCCTACCTTACCCTTGTTGAGGGCTACATCTCTCCAGGATCAACCAGCCAATCACAGCGAAGAGGTCAGCGTCTCCCAGCTCACCCGCAGTGTTTCTCTGGAGAAACAGCTGTCCTACACAGACACCTGTGATGGGTAAGTTACCTTAAGGCTTCTTAAAACATCTGCAAGTTTGTTTAACGGTTTAAAAATCCGCACCTTTAATTCATATCACTGTTTTCCCAATTAACCAACATTTACTGATTTACATATCATATATCATCGTATATTAGTCTAACCTTTAGAAATTGTCAGTGGTGGATCCAGACTAAATTTGCCAGGGGGCCCAGGGTGGGGCCTGTGATTCCTCATGGGGGCAAAGAACCAAAGACGGTCACAGTCTCTTTTGTCAACATATATCATCATAAGAAACAGATTTCATCTTA